GGAGAGAGAGAAGACAAAGAGATGGAGAGAGAGAAGACAAAGAGATGGAGAGAGAGAAAGTAAGAGATGGAGAAAGAGAAAGTAAGAGACGAAGAGAGAGAAAGTAAGAGACGAAGAGAGAGAGAGAGAGTAAGGTGGAAGAAGAGAGGGGGAGGGGGTGAGAGAGACAGAGAGCAGGACAACGTCTGCTGGATTCCGCTATTATTCCATAATGAGCAACACAGTAGGCCCAAGAAACCGTTCAAAGAATTGGTCTTCTCGGTAGCTCATTGACTGACCTGAGCGTAAACCAGGAGCCCCGAGTTAATGTCTTTCATTTTTGTAAATATTTCTATTTCGATTACTAGGAAATGCATGTAGAAGAAACAAATGTTTACTTTTTCAATTTGAAGCCAATCCTTTGAAAAGCAATGGACATGCCATGCCAGAACAATTTCTGAACTCGTGTATAATATCTGTATTTTCTGACTTGAACGGGACTTCAGTAAGGCAACGAGCCTACAATAATGGTTGGTTTGTCCTGTGGTATGTGTACTCATGAACTTTAAGACTATATTTATTTTTAAACATTTTACCACAAATCTGACATTGTTGTTGTAAGCACAGCCCACTATGACGAATCTTCATATGTTTTAGGAGGTTTGATTTGTTTGATATTGTTTTGAAGCAGAAAGGACATAGTAGGCTCATGACACGATCTGAAAACAAAAAAAGAAAAAATAAATGAAAACGAATGAAAGAAACATTTGCATATTAACCGCTGGTAATTTCATTATATACTTCTCACAACAGCAAAAATCTGTCTCATTTGCTAGGGCTAGAGCTATCAGGGGCAGCCAGTAACGAGCAGCACAGACAAATATCCCGGTTGTTTCGTGCAGGCAATATTAAATTACACCTGATACCTAGCTGGACCCGTGCGAACACTTCGCACTTTGAAAATGATTTTTTAAAAACAGAAACTTCATACCAGAACTGAAGTTGAAACGGCCAGACCCCGAACTGGGTGTTGCAGGCTAGTGCTATATGCAAGATATAATGCGAGAATAATCACTAAAGTTGAAAATGGGTTAGGCAAATGGATAAAGTGCAAATATTTTATTCCACCGGGAATCGACCCCGGGACCTCGCCGAATCGGGTATATCTGACATGCTAAGAGTTCAATTTTTAGCTCTAGTGCTAAAAATAAGTGGATGATTAGGTGTTCTGATAAATCTGTGAATTCAATAAAGAAAACAAAATACTTTCGTCTGGCCTGAAGGACTAAAATAGCCAAGAAGACGAAATGGCAAATGGACGAAAAGTACGAATGGACAACAAGAACAAAAAACGACAAAAGAACCAAAAGATAAAAAAGATAAAAATGAAAAATCGTGAAAAAGGATATAAAGTTAGTAAGGCTGTCTGAAAAATTGTGAATGACTCACGTGATAAAAGGTGATTTTATTTTGCTCTGATAAAAGGTGATTTTATTTTGCTCGAAGGATAGCGCCGCTCTATCGGCCTCGGGTTGCAGCCTTCCCTAGTCGCAAAATAAAAGATCACTTTAACCACTTGTGTCATACGGGTAATTGAAGACGCGGGATCGAGATTGTCTTATGCGTTGTTCGCGGGGCGCCAAGGTGCACTTCGCTGGGGATGCCCGCGGAGAAGCGGTTGGTACCGCGAGTGGCGTCTCGCAGGTCTTCCAGGCAACGATCGACGTCAGCCTCCAAGAGTTGAAAGTGGAGCACAAAATGCTGACGCAGGGAATCAAAATATTTACACGCAATAAAAAGATGGTAGAAGAGCAAGTTTAATAATTTTGAATTTATGAAAAAGGGAGAATTATCTATTAATTACCAAAGAAGTACTGACAGACGAAGGTATTGCAAACAGAAATGTAAAAGAATATTATGAGATATTAAAAAAATTATTACAAAATAATAGACAGTAAATCCCTACAAAAATGATTTTTCCGGAAATTCCAAAACTGACTACTACAAAGCATTAGTATTCAGGTGTATTCAGCAAATAAATAGGGTACTCGCATATAAAACAAGAATATAGAAGAAACAGTAAACTAGCCGTGCGTAAACAGTTCTTACTTCCTCGCTCTTCGTAACGTGAATTTAATATTATTAAACAGCGATTTCTGTGCATTTTTGTGTATAAATCACTGTCATCGTTTTTAAAACTCATAACAAATCGTACAACATTTTGTGCGAAAACTAATTAAGTTAAAGCTAAATTATCAAAACGAATTCATCAATTAAAATTCCGTTGCATAAGCAATAACATCTCCCACAATGAGAACGTATCCTCAGAACTTCCAACCGCCGCATCGCAACGCGGCGTATCGTATTCCAATGTGGCATCGTCCGGAGACTAGCAAATGGAGCGTGGGAAATTCGAATTACGCTACACTATTTAAAAAAATGTACATGACCATTAGAACTGATTTTTTATAACAGATTTCATTTAACAAAAAAAAAACTACCATCAAAATTGTACTTTTGAGATGATGATTTTTCGTTGTCAGCAGTTTTCAAAAACACCCAGAGAAAATGAAAATATAATCACTTCCTTTGCAGTTTCTTGCTACATACGAGGGAAAAAATTAAAGAAAACGTTTGGAGTAGTTTTTGAGAAAATAATATTTAAAATCGTTTCAAAATTGCGTATTTATCACATAAGAAAAAAACTGCTCATATTTTGAAAAATTTAAGAGTGAAAAAATTTTAAAAAATACAAAATTGAAAATTAATTGTATAATGAGTATACCTGATAATATGGTATTCCTTTACAAGTTTATAATGATGCACAAATAGTTGAGAAGGCTAAATAAATCAAATTTATCTATCTCTACCTACTAAGGATACCAAAAAGTATTTCATGTGTTACCTTAATGCAACACTTGAATGGCAAATACTTAATGGCGGGAGGTGTCTTCCTTAGAGCCTTGCATGATGTCAGCGGTGTCGTAAGCAGTAAGTGTAAGAGGGTTGGTATGCGGAGTATAAGAATAGGTGAAATGTCATGTTTGCACTTTTTTAAACAAAATCGTTTCATTGTTTATGGATTTTCCCAGTTCTTAATTACGTAACAAAAACATCGACACGCCTCAAATGGCCAAAGACTGCTTAGTTTTCTATCAATTTCTGCAAGCATTGCTAAATAGTTCTGTATTAGTGAAGTGAAGCAGAAAACACACCGAAGAACATAACCACAGAAAATGGTTTTCCAAAACGTAGCACGCACACGTCTTAAGAACAAATAAAATACACTCATAACTTTACAATTAAATATTTTAACAAAAACAGTCTTCCCAAATATTTCAATAAATATATTGTATAAATATGTTGTAGGTTATGTTGATACCTTCTTACAAATTTTGGAAAAAAAGTGCTGGGTATAATTTGTATTGCCTTAAGATCCTTACGATCGTATAGCTATCATCGAGCTAAAACATACACAAGAATTTATTAATAAAATGTTAATAATAATTAATAAATTTTAAAAATCGCAAGTTTAGCAATATTTGAAAAAATAGACATTTTCGTTTCTGAGTTATAGAAAACTTATTCGCATCGGTAAACGAATGGCAAGTATGATTTTTCTGCTTAGCTAACAAAATAGTAACTCGCCCTTACCTCTACTCTTACCATTACAAGCAAACGAAGAGATCTACAAAAATTAATGAATATCAATTCCAGTGAAAACCCTGATTACGGTTTAGTTGCAAGCGTTATTCAAGGACAGTGAGACACATCGAAATTTCTGTCCATATAAACACATATCAGACACCACATGAAAAACGTATTATCGCACTAAGCTCAAAAAGATAATTTAAAGGTGGTACATCAACATAAATTCGAAAATGCAAAACTCCGTTATATACACACACAAACACCACTCAAAAGGAGAAGTCATTCTTGGAATTCCAAACTGCAGTCTCGCAGCGTTCCAATGTCCGACATTCCATTGCAACGTGACATCTCCTGAAAGTTTCTACAAAAGAAGTGCGGGAAATTCAAATATTCAACTTTCAAAAATTTAAAATAATACTAAGCTAATATTTAAAAAAATTCTAAATGACCTTTTTTTAAAGAACTGACACATTCCATTTAACAACACGATCATCAAAAATTTCCTTTTGCAATGTTACATTTTTAATGTAAGCGATTTTCGAACATACAGAGAGGTAGCCGAAAATAAAATCAGAATCAGCTTTTTTTGTCGTTCTTTGCTTCATACGAGAAAAAAATAAAATCTTAGCGTCGCTTTCAGAAAATAATTAATTAAATAGTTTCACAATTGCCTCTTTCATATAAAATTTCGCAAAACGACTATTTTCGAAAAATTGAACCTACTGTTTTTGAAAATGTTTTTGATAAACAGATTTTTTATTAAGAAAACATCTTCATTATTCTAATCGTAGGAAGACTCCGAACAAATTTTGAACTTTGCAATTTTCGAATATTCAAGGAGTGCAAATACCTACGGCATTCGTTTCAGCGTCTTTAGCTCTATCCGAGGGAAAAACTTAAAGGAAAAAATTTGGAATCATTTTTGAGAAATTGTTGTTAGAGCTCCATATACGTAATGTATCCTTAACAATTAAAATATCGGTTTCAAATTTAAGGGACCGTCAGATCAATCGCGGAATATCAACTATGATGAAAATCCTAATTGCGATTGAGCCGCTTGCGATGATCACAGACGAACGCACGGATCAACGGGCGGACAGACGGGCAGTCACACGGGCTGACGAATCAGACGGTCGAACAGACGGACAGAGAAGGACGAGCAGACGATCAGATGGACAGTCAGACGGACAGATAGACCGAAAGAGGGGCGGACAAACCGAGAAAGGGACGGGCAGTCGGGGAGAGGGGCGGGCAGACAGACGGAGAGGGACCGATAGACAGACGGGCAGTCAGTCAGAGAGGCGGACGGTCAGAGAGAGAGAGAGGGAGAGCGAGACGGACACAGAGACGATCAGAGAGACGGACGGACAGATATAGACGAACAGAGAGACGGACTGACAGATATAGACGGGTGGACAGAGGGGCGGAAGGACAGTGACGGACGGAGGGACAAATACGGACGGACAGACGGACGAAGCGACAGAGAAACGGAACGACAGAGAGGCGGGCGGACGGACAGGCAGTCTTCAATCGGCCATCTCCAATCGATTTTGCGGTATCACGGACCTACAAAACATGGATTCTGACAAGAAAATGTGTTAGAGGAAGTATGTTAGTTCATAACGGAACACAATTTCTACAAGTTTCTGACACCAGGGCTAAGCAGTATGAGTTTTCTGTCGAAAAAATCGCCGAATCCGGCGCACGATTAAAATACCCTCTCTTTTACGAAGTGGACCGTTAAAGAAGGATGCTTTTCTGAGCTAAAATTCCCTTACAAGAAATTAAGAATTGACTGACAATGAAAAAATCGCATTTGCTGAAGTTTCTTTGAAAACAAAATTGCTTTATATCGTAATTATGTGCGCGGACATCAGTAATTATATTGTGGACTAGACCGCACAGGAATATCTGGCAATTGTTTGTAGACTTCCTCCGTATCAATTAACCAAGGAAAATGAAGTGGAAGGAAGGTGAGGGTATGTGTTTCACAAAATAAAATGTGGACACTACCGATTTTTTGGTACAAAACTGCTTTTATATCTCGCCTCCTGCACCACCCTTTAGTATCTTTGGAGTATCACTAATCGACATTAATCCTGATGCGTGAGCAAAGCTACAACCGAAAAAAACCCTTAAATATTTACGACCTCAACTTGGAGAAGCGAGCGTCGAATTGAGAAACTACGCTCCGTGAAGTCACAAAGGTTAAGCAACTCCAGACATCCTGGTTCCTAGATGGGTGACCGTCTGGGAACCCTATGGACTTAACAGCGTCGGCGCCCTAGGCAGAAGGGGGTAAAATGCAGTGGCCGACTGACTAGGTTAAACGTCCCCAGTCCGTGGCTGTAGCTGGGTGTTGGCTGATACTTACTAGCAGCGCTGCTTGTGCTTGGACCACATGTGCGCCTTGAAGACGTCGCGCAGCGCGAAGGAGCGCGGGCACAGGTGGCAGCAGTGTCTGTTCGTCATGTCCGTGTGCACGAGGCGCACGTGATACTTGAGCGCCGACTGGTTGGAATACGTCTGGCCGCAGTGGGGGCACGTGCCGCTCTGAGGCACGTGCGGCAGACACGTCGCTTGGCCCGAGGGGCTGCCTGCGGTACCAAACACAACCCAAGGCTCCAGTCAGGCTTCATTCACACTGGTTGAAACAATACAAACTAGTGCTATATAACAGCACATACCTTCTCGTAATGTTGGTAACGGTTTCGTACTTTGTCATACGAAGCAACCCGACAAAAATAACTGATGAAATCAAATTTTCGGTTTAATAATTAATAAAACACAATATTTACATTCCTACAAAAAATGTGCGAATCTTTTTCGTTCATATTAAGATTTAGTTTATTCTCAAAGTACCCCAATTTTCTCTGCGAAACACTCATCAACAAAAACATTTTTCACTCTTGCATACTACGTACGTAGGATAACGAAAGTATTCTAATAAAAACGGCGGATAAAGGGGATAAAACTTGGCCATATATGTAGTAAATTACTTCTTTGCATTGTATAACCAGAATCCATATTTTGTTGGGTCCTTGATACCGACAAATTGGTAACGGCAAACCGTATGCCCGTCCGACTGAAACCAAAATTAATATTCCTCCATCGATCTAGTGCAAGACGCGGCCCTTTCAATTTGAACCTGATATGCTGATTTTGGACGGTATTTCACATGAAGCCTAAATTTTTTTCTCTGAACAAAAAATGCTTTTGAAATGGCCTCGTTTTCGTTAAATTTGCTAAACTTTCAAAAATTACAAAAATGCAAAACTTTGTTGGCCTATTCCTTCAACTACCATACAAAAGATAGAGAATTTTTTCTCAATCAAAGTTGCATCTTGGAATAAGGTCATCTACAATTGTTCGTGAGTAGTTTTCGCGTAAGTTGACTTCAAATACACGCAAATTTTGAAAACATACCTAAACAACGGCCCCAGCTTATTTTGTTATTTTGTCTGGAATACAGCAAAATACGGTTATAAAAATGGCACAGATTTCATTTTCGATGAACCTTCCGTAATTTCGAAAATTGGTAAAAATTAACATCGCAAAACTACAACATTAAAGACAGATAAAACATTGTTCACTTAATGAAAAGCGTTCTTCAAAATTACTTCTTTAAAAAACGTACATTGTTTTAATATGAATAGTTTTTATGGGTATATATGGGTAATTTTTGCAATGCAAATTCGAATTTCCCGTACGATGCGATACAAAATTGCGAAATTCTTAGAATATCTACCCATACTTGGGCGCTGTGTCTAGCAGTATAGAACACAGTTTTGGATTGTCGAATGTGTATTGATGAATTATATTTAAATGAATTAAGTTTTCAGATATAAAACGCGAAGATTGGCTCTGCGAAGTCGACCATGGATGAAGAGGGGTTCATGAAAAATATTCATTTTTTCGAAAGATTGGCCCTGTGACTTATTAATGGTGAAAACTAAGGCATTTACTGCACATTTGAATGATCTATTGCACCTCTGCAACAACAGGTACTAGAAGTTTTCCCGGAATTTTCTTCCTTTTCGAAATTCAAAGGATTGCATTGAGCATTCATTCACTTACAAATATGTATTAATTTCATTATCAATCAATGGGTCATAAGCAGGAATTAACCCTCCTCGCGATTTTCGGCGACGTACCGTTTGTTCACTTTTGGCACACATTTTAATTGCTAATTATGATATATATGTATATATAATCATTTTAATTATATTATATTACATATATTATAATCATATCAATATATAATTATTTTCTTATTTTTGAAAATAACTTAATATATGTAGATTTTTAAGTAATAGTGGTTTCTGGTTCTCTAATGATAATAGCACGCTTAGAGTAGTGTCAATGATCCTGAGTCAACCAATGTACTCGTAATAGGTGAATATGCATCTGAAATTTACATTTCTTGCAAAAGTGTTCCTGTAATAAGCGATTTAAAATTCAAACTTACTTTAACTGATATTCATATAGTTACAGAATAAAGTGATCACATTCAGAAATACTAAATATTAACTTCGGTTAAAGTGTAAAAAGGTACACGAGTCAGCGAAGTTTATGCGAAGAGTATGTGAGGAATGTGAACATGTGATGCACAACAAAGGTTTAAATCCCACAAAATTGAAAAGACTTTTTGGAAACAAGTCATCCATCTTTACAAAATAAAAACGTCAAGTTCAGTCTACTCCGGTTGTAGTGAACTTAAGTCACTGGTCCCGTTTCAATTACATTACAAATAAACATACGAAGATTCGGTTATAGTGAACCCGAACATCGGCTATAGTGAACGTAGGAAATACAACGTTTTGCAAATTAATTTCGTCTGCCAAAGGTCATAATCGAAGAAGTCTCCCCAACTCGGCATGGCGACCTTACTGATGACCTTCTGCCACTCAGTTTCACTACGGAAACAAAGGTCGTGTCCTGTGAGGGCTACAACAGGCGGTGGCGGCGGCGGCGACGCGCTATTGCTTACTTCAGTTCCAATCTTGATCTTTCTTGATATTCCGCGGGGTAAAGCGCATTGGGTTGTACGTGGGCGACAGGAAGCTCCGCAGGGCCGCGCAGAAAGGCGATCAGTTTCATTAGCCGTCACCCCGCCACCGAAGGCATCGCGTATGCTACTAGGCGAGTAGAAAGGCCTTCAGTGTGTGGGACGGTGTTCCAAAGTGCAGAAAACAAAATCAAGTACGGAGAGAGCACCAACGCTGGAGAAGAATCTAGAGAACTTTCTAACGAAAACATATGAAGAAAACAATTGAAAATAATTTATTTTTGAAGAACAATTAAAGATATTGAAATTTTCAGTTCGAGTTGTTAATGTATTGTGCTGTACATCTATATAATAAAATCAATAGTTACGCAGAAATTCGACTTAATTTTGACATCGGATACAGTGAACCTCGGATATAGTGATCCAAAAATATGAGTCCCCCTCAAGTTCACTGTAACCGGAGTCGACGGTACTTTAAAAGAAAATGTAATGAGTTGAATAATAGAAAAAAGGCATTTACGAACGCTACACTGTAATGATGCTTTGGAATTATAGTATCGTGTCAGTTATAGTATTGTCCAACAGGGTGAAGCTCATACAATCGGAGACAATTAATCCCTCTGTAAAATATGTAGTTACAGTAAAACATGAGACGTAACCTCTCTAAGACGGAAACTTGCCATCACGGACAAATAATCTCAGAACGGAACGATTTTTACGAGAAAATTATCTCTACAAGCTGGAAACCTGTCTAATGTGGAAACAGAATGGTTTTTAGAGAACGTAGATATATTATTACTTGGCTACGAAGGGAAATTATTTCGCACTGTCTTCGGAATGGCAAAGTACGAAAGATCGCATGCTGAGACAATAAAGTGAACGAGGAGTTATTCCTCTTATGTCTACTGTCCAGGAATCTTTGTCGAACACGGCGATTATTTCGCTGCAACTTTCTCTTGCTTTAGGTGTTTGTCAAGGTCTCAACTAGCGCGACTTCGTCGTTGTCGTTCCGAATCGTTAACGCTGGACGTCACAATGGATAAATGAATGTATCCCTTTGAATTCCCAAAAGCATCACCACGTTTCCATCAGTCGACAATGGAATCCGGAAAGGCTGTCTTTTCATTCGAGCACAGCGTAAAGAGAAACCTGTAAGCTAGTGTGTCAAAATGTCTTTGATACGTACGTGCAAAACTCTTCCGCTGCAGAAGAAAGTGATTGATGGACACTAGAAGAAAAAAACGTTCTGCAAAAGACCTAGTTGCGAAATTCAAAATGTGCAAAGATCAAATTTGACATTTTAATAAGGACAAAATTCAAAAACAATGGTTAAAAGGATAAAATTATAATGAAAATACTGAACATAAGTGATATGATGAATTTTTGGGAACTCTCTATAACACGGAAACCTGCCAAGCCGGAACTGTTTTAAAGGAATAGTCAGGCTCCGTCTTAGATTTTACTGTACTACCATTATGCGTGAAGAACATGCCAAATTAGTTGATTGTATTCCCCTTTCGGATACAATTTCAAGGCGTGTTAAAGACATGTATATGTGTGTGAGCGCGCGCGCGTACGAGAATCAGCTCAGAAGACATTTGCAAGCTGCTGAGCATGGATTTACTTTTCAACGTGAGGAAACGTCAGATAAAGCTACATTAGAATGCTAGTTATTGTGAGATACAGTATCCATGAAGATATGCTAATTTGCTTAAGTCCGCACACCAGAACATCTGCAGAAGAAATTTTTAATTCGATAGTTTTTATTTCTAAAAGCAAGATAATTTTGGGATTTATATAAACAAGTATGTACCGATGGAGCCAAGGTAATGATTAGAAGACAGGATGGCGTGGCTGTAAGCATGAGAAGTACTCATTGTTGTCTTCATTGACAAGCTCTTGCAGTGAAGAAAATGCTAAAAGAGCTAAAAGACATTTATCAGATATGTAAAAACATTTCTTGAATATTTTCCTGTTCAAAAAGACACATCTTCGATTCTTTTTTGAGACTTTGAAAGGGTATTGTCCACCCAGTGGATGAATTCGCGATTGCCAAAAGCCAGCGGTGACAGCGGAGCCTTGACAGCTGGCAAGATGACACCTCAGTGGCCCCAGACCACGAATTTCCGCGGAGGGATACAAGGAAGACTGGATCAATCTGGCTCTGAGCTCTGTGAATTTCAAAAGGATATTTTCATTCATACGTTCCAATATTTTCCACATTTTCTCAAAAATGAATCCAAACTTTTTGTTTATTTCTTTCTACTATCGAATAGAGGCTCATACAAATAGACGCATATATCATTTTCTTTAAATTCTCCGTATTTTTGAAAATTGTGGATTTCAAAATTTTGTTGGACTTCCTAAAACTAGACAGCATATAAGGGATTTTTTCTTTATAAAATCTGTTGTCAAAGTTGGAATTTTAAATAAGATTATGTACGATTTTCAGATTTCGCTTTATTTTGTCGAAAATATGGGCAATTTAAAAAATCAAAATGGTTTCAAATTTTAGGATTAAATTTATTTTTACGACATGGAACCCATTTACGGTGAATCCTCTGTATTTTCTAAAATTGCATACAAAAA